ACTTAGTCCTGAAACAATAACGTTGATAGGTAGAGCCTTTAAGGAATGAATAGGTCATGATGGCAGAGCCCTCACAGATGAGGCTAATGCCTCAATAAAGAAGTTTGAGCTGGTCGCCGGTGGCTCACACCTGTAATCCTAGCTACTCAGGAGGCTGAGATCTGAGGATTGAGGTTCAAAGCTAGTCAGGGCAGGAAAGTCCATGAGACTCTTATCTCCAATAAACCACTAGAAAACCAGAAGTAATGCTGTGCCTCAAGCTGAGTTCAAGCCCCAGAACTATACACAAAAAGAGTTGGGGGCATGGCCCAAGTGGTAAAGCACATGCCTAGCAAAGCTCTGAGTTCAGTAAGTTAAACTGAACAAATAAATCACTTCTTTAAAGTTAAACACACACACAAAAGTTCTAGTCTAAAATAGCCTTTGAGACTCAAGGCAAAATAAACTCCCAGCTATAAGCCCATATAAAGTCAAAAGCAAGTCACATACTTCCAACATATAATGGCACAAAGTATATCACCTATTCCAAATGGGAGGATCAAAGCAAAACTGAAATCCAGTAGGGCAAATGCTGAATTCTTTAGTTCTAGGAATCAATGCACATGGTAACATCATGATGTGAGCTCCAAAGGACTAGGACAGCTCTGACTTCATGTTCTTCTTGTTTGCAGGTAACATAAAACCTCTTACAAACCCTTCAGTAATATCCTACTGCTGCAGAAAATTTAAATTTCTTGCCATGGCCTATAAGAACCTAACTCTCAGATCCTACCTTAAATAACTGTCCTCTTAACCAGCTTTAATGTGTTTTCTTTCTTTCTTTTTTTTGGGTCAGATCGTGGGGCCTGAACTCCGGGCCTGGGCGCTATCCCTCAGCTCTTCAGCTCAAGGCTAGCGCTCTACCACTTGAGCCACAGCACCACTTCCGGCTTTTTTCTTTTTGCTTATGTGGTGCTGAGGAATCAAACCCAGGGCCTCAGGCATGCAAGGCAAGCGCTCTACCACTGAGCCACCTTCCCAGCCTGTGTTTTCATTCATTTACAAAGATTTTTATGCACCTAATTTGTACCAGGTACCTAGTCAGACATTGGGTGTTACAAAGATATAATCTGTTTTTGAAATGTTCACAGTTCAGTAAGTTAAACTGAACAAATAAATCACTTCTTTAAAGTTAAAAATTTTGCAGACTTAAAAGCAATGTGGGATAGAAGGACAAAGGACATTGACTCTGCCTACATAATTCAGTGACAGCTTTTACCAAAGAAGGAAGAATTACTGCAATGTAAAACTAGAAGAAAGCTGTCAGGGTCCATATGGGACTCTCCAATTCCTTTGACAATTATCTAGAAGTGAGTGAGGAATTCCAAAAAGGTAGCTTGAGTACAGAAGAAAAATACCCTTCCGAAGTCACTATAAAGATTGAGAATGGATATGTAGAGCATTTTTTTAATGACAATGTTTGGGTATCACATATTAGGGACTAGTTAGAGAAAAATAAACACAACTAACCAAATCTCTGCCTTCATGGAGCTTATACTGCAATGTAGAACTTAGGCAATAAATATATAATATAAAGTTAAGGGATAAAAGTGATGATAAGAAATAAAGTCAAACAAGGAGTAAAGAATGCTGGGACTGCTTTTAAGATATGAGAATCAATAAAGATCTGATGGAGAAAGGAAGTTTTAAGCAGATGACTGAATGACTCAATCTGGGTCTGGGTATTTCATGGATCAGTTATTCAATTTTACAGATTTACGAAAATACATTTTCAGACTTCGCTGACTTCACCAAACTGGCACTTCACTAAAGTGATGATTAACCAATCTTTCCTATTTATTTTATCTTGATTATTTGACCATGTGTAATTGGTCCCATGATTAGGCAGGTTAAGATTCAAACTACACATAATTTCTCTACTGATGATTAACTAATCCTAGGCTTAGTTATTAACTATAAGTCTACTCTTTCTGTTGTTCATGTGACCTTTTTTACATTACTCTTTCAGACTCAGCTGGATTTTATTTCATCATAAGATTAAACATACTATCCCAAATATAATAGTTCACCTAACCAGCTAAAATCCAGGATGCAGCCAAAGCACTAATTATCCTTACTCTTTTGAATTAGGACTGAGGGATAAGATTCTGAATAAAAAAATTAAATCATGTATCTGCAACCAGAAGATGCCTAAGGATCATCTGCATGTTTAGAAAAGCTGTTCTCTAATAAGAGGTGCTAGCACCAGTGGCTATAAATGGGAAGAATGGAGGATTATAATTCAAGACTAGCCTTTCTTAGTTTGACTTCTTCTTTCCTTATGTGAATTCCTTTTATGTCTTTCTCTTACCTTATTGCTATGACTAGGAGTTCCAAAATTACATTGAAAAATTAGTGGAAAGTGGACATCTTTGCCTTGTTACTGATTTTATGGGAAATGGTCACATGACACCTTCTTAACAGTAGAAGCTGGAGATGTGACATAAACCTGTTCTTTCAGGTTAGACAGAGAGCCTAAGACAGGCAGATCTAAGTCCAAACATGTGCCTAGGCAGAAAGTGAGACACAATTTCAAATATATTTAGCACAAAAAGGAACTGGAGATGTGGCTCACTGGTAGAGTATCTGCCTAACAAGCATGAGCCTCTGAGTTCAAATTCCATATGGAAAAAAAGGTGAAGTTGGGCTGGGAATGTGGCTCTGTGGTAGAGTGCTTGCCTAGCATGCATGAAGCCCTGGGTTTGATTCCTCAGTGCCACATAAACAGAAAAAGCTGGAAGTGATACAGTGGCTAAAGTGGTAGAATACTAGCCTTTAGCAAAAGCAGCTCAGGGACATTGTCTATGCCCTGAGTTCAAGCCATAGTGGGGGAAAAAAAAGTGGAGCTATGAATGGTAGCCTTCTCCTGGTAGATCTTCCCTAGCACAACTGGAAAAATAAATGCAGAAGAGAAACAGTGAAGCCAGGTGTAGTGGTACATACCTGTAATCCCAGCACAACAGAGAATCTGAGGATAGCCTAAGCTACTTGTGAGACCTTGTCTCAAATAAATAAGGGCTAGGATTGTAGATCAATGATACAAGATTTGCCTAGCATGTATAAGGCCTTGGGTTCCATTCTAAGAATGCCCCATCCCCTCAACAGAACAAAAAGGACAGTGATAAAATTTTAAGAAGCATATCAAGATAGGAATTCAATGAGGTTATAAAATAGTCTCAGCAGAGTGGGAAGAAAAACAACAACAACTAAGTTTTTACAAGTTGGGAATCTCCCTAATAGTTCTCCTGCCGTCTTTCTACTTTCTCCAATATTTCTATTGCTCTAACAAGGTCAATGGTTTGCTAATGATGACACATTAGGGGAAAAACCCAAATCTATTAGCTGGAAACCAGTAGCTCATGCCTATAATCCTAGTTACTTAGGAGGCTGAGATCTGAGGATCCCTGTTCAAAGTCAGTGAGACTCATATCTCCAATTTAACCACTCAAAAACTAGGAAGTAAAGCTGTGGCTCAAAGTGGTAGAGGGTTAGCCTTGAGTACAAGAGCTCAGGGACAGAGCCAGTATCCAGGCCCTGAGTTCAAACCCCACAACTGACAAAACAACAACAACCAAAAAAAAAAAAAAAAAAAAACCCTTTTTTATAAAACTTAAGCAGTCAGTTATAAGTAAATGAAGAGTTACTATTATAAGGGCAATTGAAAATGAAAATCATTAGATCCTTACCACCACGTAAAAGTAAAGGAAAAATAAAAATGAAGAGTAAGACATACTTTCATAAATGCAAATTTATAAGCAAAAGGTTGAGAGTTAAACTACCAAATCCATTGTTTGCAAGAGGCCTGTATATTCAAAGTCATTTTTAGAAGATGAACCTATCTGCAGAGAAAGATGACAAAGCTCCCTAGTACATCTCTTAGTCACAGGGACTACTTACTAGAACTAGAAAGTACATCAGTTTTGGAGGCATGACTCAGTTGATAGAGCACCAGCCAATGAGCAAAAGATTCAGGTACAGTAGAATAGAAAGTACAAAACAGGCTGGGTGCTGGTGGCTCATATCCTAGCTACTCAGGAGGCTGAGATCTGAGGATGGAGGTTGAAAGGCAGCAGGGACAGCAAAGTCCGTGAAACTCTTATCTCCAATAAACCACCAGAAAACTGGAAGTGGCATTGTGGCTTAAGAGGTAGAATGCTCACCTTGAGCTGAAGAGCTCAGAGACAGTGCCCAAGTCCAGAGTTCAGGTCCCACAACCGATCAGAAAAAATAAAAACAAACAAACAAAAAAAAAACAACCAGAAAGTACAAAACAGGAATTAACTACATTGTGATTTTTTAATAGCCTATTATAGATTCTGGGTCAATAAAAAGTTAACTGGCTGGGGCTGGAAGGTGGCTCAGTGATAGAGTGCTTGCCTTGTATACATGATGAGGCCCTGGGTTCGATTCCTTAGCACCATATAAGCAGAAAAAGCCAGAATTGGCACTGTGGCTCAAGTGGTAGAGTGCTAGCCTTGAGCTGAGGAGCTGAGGGACAATGCCTAAGTCCAGAGTTCATGCCCCATGACCAACCAAAAAGAAAAAAAAAAAGCTAACTGGCTAGCTGGGTGCTGGTGGCTCACGCATGTAATCCTAGCTACTCAGGAGGATAAGTTCTGAGAATTTCAGCTCAAAGCCAGCAGGAATATCCGTGAAACTACTATCTCCATTTAACCACCAGAAAACTGGAAGTAGCGCTGTGACTCAAGTAGTAGAGAGCTAGCCTTGAGCTGAAGAGCTCAGGGTCAGTGCTAGGCCCAGAGTTTAAGACTCATGGCTGACCCCCTCTTCCCCCTCCCCCCCCAAAAAAAAGTTAACTGACTGAGATCTATATCAGGAAGAAAGCAAAGAGTGCAGTCTCTCCATTATGTACAACAATCTAAAGTGAATCTTTGGTAAAAGAATGAGGCAGTTAGAATTTACCTGGAAAATCAGTTTTTCTTTACTTTTGTTTTTCATACCTGAGAGATATGACTAAAATACTTCAAAGCTGTATCCACAGGGCTTTTGAAGAACATTTTCTCCTGAGGTTTCAGCTATGAAAACAGTAAGAAACACAGTGAGAATATCTACAATGAAATGAAATAATCTTACCGTTTTACAATTGCTATATGCAAGTTATTTTGTTCTCTTTCTCTCTCTCTCTCTTTCATGGCAATCCTGGGGCTTGAATAGAGGGCAGGATGCCACCCCTGAGTTTCTTTGCTCAAGGCTAGCATTCTATACTGATTAAGACACAGTTCCACTTCCAGTTTTTTGATGATTAATTGGAGGTAAGAGTCTCAGAGTTTCCTGCCTTGGCTAGTTTCCAAGTGCAGTCCTCAGATCTCAGCCTCTTAAGTAGCTAGGATTACAAGTGTGAGTCACTGGCACCTGGCTGTTCCTTTTCTTTATTAAAGTATTACCTATACTTTGTTTATACTTCCTACAAGCTAGGATGGGATAAGATGGTTTGTGACAGAGGTGGGATGTAGGGCGGTGGAGGTGACTTACATTATCAGAAAGAGCCAGATACTTGCAATGAGTACCACAAACAGCACATTTTTCTGAAAGGTAAAAAAGAAAGTTTGATTCTCATGGGAATAAAGTAATACATTCCTAACATATATGGTAATAATCAAGTAGGCTAGCAAGAAAAGGGTTCTTTCTGAAGTTAAAATATTGTTTTAAAGGAACATTAAATCTAAGCTCTATTCTTCAAATCAGTACTGCCATACTAATATGTTGAATGTGTGTGTGTGTGTGTGTGTGTGTGTGTGTGTGTGTGTATGTCAGTTGTGAGGATTGAACTCTGGGCTTGGGTGCTGTCCTTGCACTCTTTAGCACCTGAGCCACAACACTACTTCCAGTTTCCTGGTGGTTAATTGGAGATAAGAGCCTCACAGACTTTTCTGCCTGGGATGGCTTTGAACCCAGATCCTCAGATCTCAGCCTCCTGAGTAGCTAGGATTACAGGTGTGATCCACCAGTACCCAACATTATATTGAAATATTAATTAAGCTTTCACACTATATTTCTATTAATCTTTCATGTGTGTGTTGTGTGTAAGCTGTGTGTGTGTGCATGCACACACACCTTTTCTGGGGCTTGAACACAGAGCTGGCACTGTCCCTGAGCTGTCATGCTCAAGGTTAGCACTCTGCCACAGTTCCACTTTCAGCTTTTTTGTGGTTAACTGGAGCTAAGTGTTTCATGGACTTTCTTGCTCAGACTGGCTTTGAACCATGATCCTCAGACCTCAACCTCCTGAGTAGCTAGGATTATAGGTGAGCAACTGACTAATCTTCCTGTCTTTTTTTTCCCCCAGAGCTGAGGACCAAACTCAGGGCCTTGAACTGGCCAGGCAAATGCTTTTCCACTGAGCTAAATCCCCAACCCCTCTTCCTGTCTAAAAACAAATAAACAAAAAAACTCAATTTTCCTCTCTGAGACAAAAAAAAGACCACTTAAAACACCCAATGGGAGAGCCTGAGAATGTTTACAAGAATACTGGGAGCAACACAATGATCTTAACTTTAAATTAGTATACTTGTTATCCTATCTGCCTGACAGCAGGCACATACTGTGTACTATCAGGAACTCCTCCAGTGATTCCTGCCCTTTTATCACATTGCTAATAATCCTAGACTTGCTTTGAAGCTCTCTTATGCTCCAATTAGTTCCATCTGAAAGAAGTAAAAATTCAAGTTCCTATTCTTTAAAGTGCAAACTTAGTTAGTGGTGGTGCTAGTTATTTATTAAGATAAATTCTATGTCAGGAGAAAACATCACATGGCTTATGCTTCAGAAACAAACCACTCCAAAATGAGCTGCTGTTACTATAGTGAACTACCTTGTTACATCAACAGATAACTTTAAAAAAGAGTCATGTGATCCATGTAGAGAAAAAGCTTCTCCAGAGACAACCATAGTTGACTGCTTTCTTTTGGGGAAGAGGAAAGAAGATTTTTTTCCCCAGTCTGTCCTCCATATTGTTCCCAGCATCAGCTAACAAGTGCAAACAAAAACCACTAAAACACTTGCAAGCCTTTACCATCCAACAGGATATGGTTCAGGATCTTTGGCTGGGTATACTGAGACTTCCATCATGTGGCCACTGCCAGATCTCTAGCTTCATCTCTCATCATTTCTTACCTTATTCCTTATATTCTATCAATCCCAAATATGGGTAGCCCTTTGCACCATGGTTTTATAATGTCCTCTGTCTATATACTGCTACTGTCTCAAACTACAATGATTAATTAAATAAGGACTTGCTTTACCCACTTGCTAACCTATACAATAACTACTGCAATAACACTTCTGTAAAGTCTGACCAAAGTATACTATGTTAAATCCCTCTTCTGCAATGAGTGGAAGGACTGAGGTTCAAGGCCAGCTTGGACAGAAGTTTTGAGTCCCTACTTAATAAAAAAACAGGACTGGAAGTATGGCTCAAATGGCAGAATCTCAGCCCACAATAGGCCTACCAAATGATATTTGTTCTAAATCACACAAGAAAGGCTAATATTTCTATCTAGATTAAAACATTTTTGCCAGAGCCAGGCACTGGTGGCTCAAACCTGTAATCCTAGCTACTTAGGAGGCTGAAATCTGAGGATCTTGGCTCAAAGCCAGCCTGGGCAGGAAACTCCGTGAGACTCTTATTTCCAGTTAAGCACCAGAAAACCAGAAGTGGTGCTGTGGCTCAAGTGATAGAGTGCTAGCCTTGAGCTGAAGAGCTCAGGGCCAGTACCCAGTCCCATAGTTCAAGCCCTAGGACCGCCAAAGAACAACAACAAACCCAAAAAACAAATATTTGCCAGAAACTGAAAATAAGTCACTTACCCAGAGTCATACAGTGTTTACAGAAAATATGGCCACAGCTGGTGACAAAGAAATGGGCCCCATCTTTGCGGAAACAACGGTTGCAATGAAACCAATCCATTCTGTAGCAGATAAAGAGTAAGAACAATATGAAGAATAGCTGAATTATGGGCTGTTCCAAACTTTATGAAATACTTGGTTTAGTTTCCCATTGTCTGAGGATATGAACACATTACTGTGGGCATTCCAATAGATCACAGGAAGTACATATAAAGTGAGAAAAAGGTTGTAAATATGCTGTCATAAAGTCTATCAATCTATCTTAGAAAAGTAGTATGAAGACAGCAGCAAGATTTTTTTTTTGAGTGGTGAGATTATGACTGTGTATGTGTACGTGTGTGTGCCCTCTTGTGTTTTTGAGATTAGGGTATCACTGTGTATCACCTGCTGGCCCTGAACTCATAACCTCCTGCCTTAGCCTCCCTAGTATTGGGATTACAGTTGTGTATCACTGTGCCTGGCTCTATGCTTTTTTGTGTTCAAGCATTCCAGAATAATGTCTCAATTTGTAGTAGAAAAAACAATTGTAGGGCTGGGAAGGTGGCTCAGTGGTAAAGCGCTTGCCTTGCATGCATGAGGCCCTGGGTTCGATTCCTCAGCACCACATAAGCAAAAAGAAAAAAGCCGGAAGTGGCGCTGTGGCTCAAGTGGTAGAGCGCTAGCCTTGAGCTGAAGAGCTGAGGGACAGTGGCCAGGCCCAGAGTTCAGGCCCCACAACTGGACCAAAAAAAAACCAAAAACAACAAAAAACAATTGTAGTGCTCGTTTCGGCAGCACATATCCTAAAATTGGAAAAACAAAAAAGGAAAAAACAATTGTAGTTGGGCACCAGTGGCTCATGTCTATAATCCTAGCTACTCAAGAGGCTGAGATCTGTGATTTGTGGTTCAAAGCCAACCTGGGAAGTAAAGTCCATGAAATTCATCTCCAATTAACCACCAGAAAACGGGAAGTGGCACTGTGGCTCAAGTGGTAGAGCCCTTGCCTTGAGCTGGAGAGCTCAGCAACAGCTCCCAGGCCCAGAGTTCAAGCCCCAGGACCACACACATACAAAGGAGGGGGAGAAGAGAAAGAGAGAAAGAAGAAGAAAAAGAAAGAAAAAACAATAGAAGAAGAGAAAGAAAAACAATTGTAACTAATTAATTTTGTTTTGGCTTTGTTTTTTTTTTTTTTTTGGGTAGGTTAGTGGAAATAAGAATCTCACAGATTTTGGGGGGGGGGGGGCCGGGATTGGGTGGGGGGTGTGAAGGGTAAACAAAGGAGGAGGCTGCAATGCTTGATAAGAAATGTACTCATTATCTTGCCCATGTAATTGTAACCTCTCTGTACAGTATGTTCACAAAAAAAATAAAAATTTAAATTAAAAAAAATAAATAAAAAATAAAAACTCCCCCCCCCCCCCAAAAAAAAGAATCTCACAGATTTTTCTGCCTGGGATGGCTTTGAATCCAGATTCTCAGATTTCAGCCTCCTGAATGGCTAGGATTACAGGTGTGAGCCACCAGTACCTAGAAGAAAAAAAAAAATTAAAAAATTAACATTTAAGCTGGTGCTAGTGGCTCATGCCTATAATACTAGCTACTCAGGAGGCTGAGATCTGAGGATTACAGTTCAAAGCTAGCCTTTGCAGAAAAGTATGTGAGACTTTTTCAAAAAATCTGGAAGAGGCACTGTGTCTTAGGTGGTAGAGCACTAGCCTTGAGCACAAAAAGGCTCAAGGATAGCACCCAGGCCTGATTTCAAGCCCCAGGACCGGCAAACAGACACACACACACACACACCAAACTAAAGCAAAAAAAAAAAACATAAAACAAACACATACACATACACACACACAAAAAGAAATTCTGGGCATTGGTGGCCCATACCTGCAGTTCTAGCTACTCAGGCTGAGATCTGAGGATCATAGTTTGAAGCTAGGTCAAGCAGGAAAGCCTATGAGACTCATCTCCAATTAAGCATCAAAAAAGCGAGAAGTAGAGAGGTGGTTCAAGTGGTAGAGTAAGAACCCTGAGCAAAAAAGGCTCAAAGGCAGTGCTGAGGCCTTGAGTTCAAACCCATTACTGGCACACACAAAAAAATACAGAAATGAACCATAATATTTACATTTAATAAAATCATGTTTAGTGAATATGCTACATATGAATAATATATTCCCTAGTTTGATCCTTTAAAATTGAGGGATTGGAAGAGATGAGGGAGGGGAAGGGACAATGGAAGGGGTGACAATCAAGATGCACTGTATCATAAAGTTTCACGTTGAATTGCAACCCATTTGTACAATTAAAGATAATAAAGGGCTGGGAATATGGCTTAGTAGTAGAGTGCTTGCCCACCATATAAACAGAAAAAGCCAGAAGTGGTATGTGGCACAAGTGGTAGAGTACTAGCCTTGAGCAAAAGAAGCTCAGGGACAATGCCCAAGCCCCAAGAGTGTCAAAAAAAAAAAAAAAGTAATAAAAAATTATATAATGAAAAAAATTATCTTACAAACTGACTTTCAATCCCTGTCCCAGAAAAATGCACAAAACTTAAAAAAAATTAAATTGGAAAAACTAATCAAAAGATAAGGTAAATTTTCTCCACTAAAATATTTTCCTTTTCATTTGTGTGTGCATGTGTTCGTGTATTTGCTAAGTCAATGCAGGCTGGTTTGTACCACGCCTGAATTATGTTGTCACGTAGACGAGAATTTCGGTAACTCTTGCAGAATGAACAGTTTGACGCAAAGGTATCTCCAGAACCAGGAGCTTCCGATTTGTATTTGTTGCCCTCGTTCCTCTGGCGTCTAGCCAGGACCCAAGTCTAAACTTCTGAAAGGCCCCGCCATGTACGCCTCGACTCAAGAGCAGCAACCATTAAAACACAGTTGAATAGGATGAACCCCGGGTAAGAAAGCGAATGGAAGGGTCAAGACACCCCCCCTCACCCCGCCCATCACAGAACTCGCCTACTTTCCTGAGATGGGGATTTTCGAATTTTCACAGCGGTAATCCCAGAAGGCCTCAAATCTCCAGGAACCTTCCAGTTCTCCTCGCCAGGAGCAGGAAATGGCGGGAAAATGAAGAGGCGGCCACGCACCCAAACGCGGCAGACTGTGGGCGTGGCTAGCGGTGCTTGCGTGATGCGTGGGCGGGAAAGCGGGCGGGGCCTAAGCCAGAGTTACGCCTATAGACCCCGCCCCCTGCCGGATGCTGAGCCCAGGAAAATGCTTTGCATTTAGGGATTGGGGACAAGTAATGATTATGATTTAATCTCATACATTTACTATGGAAAGCGCAATAAATTAAACCTAAGCAACGAGAACTCGACACCACCAAATGGGATCACCAAGCGGTAGAAAGTTTGACATTCTAAAATAAAATGAAATAACAGATGCTTTGAAAAGCCAACAGAAATAATAGAAAAACTGGAAAATGATATGGAGAGAAAGGAGTTGGGTATTAAATGAAAACTGACAAATCTCTGTGGGTGTGGAGGGGGTAACCTCTGTGTGTGTGTGTGTGTATGTGCGCGCGCGCGTGTGTGTTAGTCCTGGGGCTTGAATTGAGGGCCTAAGTCTTGTCCCTGAGCTTCTTTTGCTCAAGACTATTGCTCTACCCATTAAGCTACATCGACACTTCTGGCTTTTTGGTGGTTAATTAGAGATAAGATTCTCATTGACTTTTCTGCACAGGCTGGGTTTGAACAGTGATACTGTCTCAGCCTCCCGAGTAGTGAGGAATTACAGGTGAGAGCCACCAGTGCCCAGTTCAAAATTCTTATTTTTATCAGACAGTTTAAATATGTCACTAGTAACAAACCTCACTATTTACTTCCTTTCAAGTGACAAACTCACTTTCTTTATTTTTTTGGGGAAAAAAAGTCTACCAAATATTCAAGCCTTAACATCCATAGTTAGAATGTGTGTCAGTTGATCTTTCAAGTAAAAATGGCATTCCATGAGCTGGTGGGGTATGGCTCAAATGATAAGAGGCAAGCCCAAGGTCCTGAATTTTTTTTTTTTTTTGGTCGGTCGTGGGCCTTGAACTCTGGGCTTAGGCGCTGTCCCGGCGCTCTTCAGCTCAAGGCAAGCGCTCTACCACTTGAGACACAGCACCACTTCCGTTTTTCTAGTGGTTTATTAGAGTTAAGAGTCTCACTGACTTTCTTGCGCTTTGAACCGCGATCCTCAGATCTCAGCCTCCTGAGTAGCTAGGATTATAGGAGTGAGCCACTGGCACCCCCACTGGCACCCGGCTAAGGTCCTGAATTTAAACTCTGGTGTTGACTCACACACACACACACACACACACACACACACACACACACATACACACACACACACACAGGCATCCCATGAAAAGCTTACAACTTAAATTACAACTACTGAATAAATGGTTTACCCTAAACATAACCTCAGTACTACCTAAATATCATGGACCACGTAAAAGGAGAAAATAATTTTAAAATTTATAAAATGATAGCAAAAATTGATAACGATTGCTTAGAAGTAAACTATAAAGCCGGATGCCAGTGGCTCATGCCTGGAATCCTAGCTATTAAAGAGGCTGAGATCTGAGGCTCGGGTTAAAAGCCAGCCTGGGCAGGAAAGTCCTTGAGACTCTTATCTCCAATAAACCACTCAGAAAGCTGGCAGTGGTGCTGTGGCTCAAGTGGTAGAGCGCTAGCCTTGAGCTGAAGAGATGAGGGACAGCATTCAGGCCCAGAGTTCAAACCCCACAACCAACAAAAAAAGAAAAAAGGAAAACTATAAAACAGTTCAATACCTCAGTCTACATAAACAGAAAGAGCTGAAAATAGCACTGTGGCTCAAGTGGCAGAGTGCTAGCCTTGAGCAAAAACAGCTAAGGGACAGTACTCAGGCCCTGAGTTCAAGCCCTATGACTGGCAAAAAAAAAGTCCAACAAATATTGATGCCAAAATGTTTTTTAAAAGGATGGTTATGTTTTATTAGACTTTTAAATAGAATCAGAGTCTGTGAACTTGCAGTCATATAGAGTGCTGCAAAAATTTTAAAGAAAGTATTAGCAGGAACTAGAGGCATGGTTCTAGTAGTGG